ACTTAGCCCAAGTCCACTGCCCACACCCTCACGCTGACTTGGGAGACCCAACTTGGCACCAGCCCTGGCCATCTCCTCTGGGAAGTTGCCTGCAAACTCTTAAATGTTGTAGCTCACCCCCCCCCCCCAGGACACCCACCACAGTGCCTGCTCAGTCAGCCTCTGAGACCACAACACCACATCTGGGAGGTTCAAAGGCAGGGCCCAGTAATGACTCCCCTGTGCTCAGCGGGTTTCAACTTGCTGCACAGAGAAAGGAGTGCCTTGTGTGTGTGTGTGTGTGTGTTGGGGGGGCGCTGTCAGCCTGGCCCTTGGCTTGGGGACTCAGTATGTGGGACTGTAGACTGTACTAGCTGGCTTCTGGATCCCTGGACTCCAGGCTTTTAAAAACAAAACCAAGGGACCTGTGCAGAGTATGCTTGCCTAGCGTGCAGGAAGTCCTGGGTTCAATTCCCAGCACTGGGGGCAAAACAGTCTTAAAACAGAAATGAAGCCTCGTCCTGTGTGTGTGTGTGAGGGGGGGAGGTGTCCTGTGAGGAAGGCTTCTTAACCCTGAACCCACTCACAACCCCATTTTACCCAAGAATTTTTTCTGCATGACCTCAGGTATATAGATATATAAAAGGTAAACAAATCAAATGTTTGTGATAATAAATCATAAATAAATTTATTTGGGGACTTAGAGTCGGCTCAGCAGTTAAAAGCATGGACTGCTCTTCCAGAAGACCTGAGTTCAGTCCCTAGCACCCTTGCCAGGTGGACCACAACTTCCTGTATCCACAGCTCCAGAGCGATCAATGCCTCTGACCTCCTTGAAGACACACACATAGTTGAAAAATAACAAATATAAATCTTTTTTTAAAAAAAGAAATTACTTGCTGGGCAGTGGTGGTATAGGCCTTTAATCCCAGCACTCGGGAGGCAGAGGCAGGAGGATCTCTGTGAGTTTGAGGCCAGCCTGGTCTACAGAGTGAGTGCCAGGACAGGTTCCAAAGCTATGCAGAGAAACTCTATCTCAAAAAAAAAAAGAAAAAAAGAAAGAAAAAAGAAAATTACTTAATTTTTAAAATTCTTGATATGCATGAAATTTTACTATTCACTAAAGACCAAATAAAGTAATTTGCATGTTTGTGACCTTATTTATTTTTACCTGTATAATTAAACTGTAGTGGAGTTTTTTATATTTAATAGTGGAGGATGCAGAACATCTTCAAGGTTTCTCAGAACTGGCCAATATTTTTATTTATAATCAAAATAAATACACACACAGCATAAAATGACAGGGGACTCCTGCCTGGCTAGACTGAGGCTATGTTCCCGTTGGGGGTGCCTGCTGCTAAGCCCATGTCCCCTTGGGGGTGCCTTTATTGCTCTGCTGTCTTACCTCACCGAGTCTGGGCCACATCCCCAGTAGCCTTACTTTACAGTCATGGGAACTGACAGAGAGGGTCCTGGGGAACTGGACCAGGAGTTGGGGACAAACTGGCTCTGGCTGTGTGGAGGTAGAGCCCTCTTGGGCCAACTGTTCCCCAGTCCAACTCCACAAGGGAAGAGGAAGACAAAGCATGGTGTCCGCACCAGCTGCTGTAACCTGCTCTCCCTTGACCACTGCTGGTGTCCTCATGTCACACCATGCCCAGTCATTAGCATTTAGTGGACAGATATAGAATGGATGGAATAGATAGAAAATTGAGAAATGGTGACATAGATGATAGAAGACAAATGATATGTAGACGATAAATAGAAATAAACGTCAATAGATGATTGATGAAATGATCGTCAATAGATGATAGATAGAAATAACCAATAGATGATAGATGATAGGTAGACTGATGGCACACAGATGGCAGATAAATGACAGAAATAGATGATCAATAGATAGATAGATAGATAGATAGATAGATAGATAGATAGATAGAAGATAGAGGTGTTGATATATTATTTATGATTTATTAAAGCTTACCTGAGGATTCAGAAAACAAAGTCAGCCTCAAGATATAGAGATCAGGCAGTGGTGGCTCACACCTTTAATCCCAGGATTCAGGATTAAGAGGTAGACGGATCTCTGCTAGTTCAAGGCCATATTGAGCTACACAAAATTGATCCAGTCCTAAAGAGAAACAGCTCTCACAAAGATGATCTCAGCACCTGGGATCACACGCCTTTAATGCCAGGACTCATGGGAGGCATTTAAAACAGGAACAGGGTCTCAGAGCTGGCATTCATTCTCCAGCCACACTGAGGATAGGAAGGCCCAGGATTCTCCAGCCATGTTGAGGAGAGCATAGCCATCTGGGATTTCAGTCTCAGACCTGGTGAAGAGCTCATGGATCAGTCCTTTCAGTCTGAGCTAGAGGTGATAGTGGCCAGCTGCTTTGCTTTTCTGATCTTCAGTTTAAACCCCAATATCTGTCTCTGGGTCTTTTATTTATCGTGTTACAGACAGACAGATAGATAGATAGATAGATAGATAGATAGATAGATAGATAATGCACAGAGAGATAAGAGATAGAGCAATCAAAGGGGTGGAGAGAGACAGGCCAGGAGCCAAAAGGGTATACTTTCTAGTTTCTTTGAAACATGTTCTTTTCTTCAGTGGGAGAAGCAATAAGAAAAGCCTCAAATGGAATACATGTGTGACTTTGTCACACTCTGGTGCCACTACATTGCAGCAAAGGTGAAAGGGATTTGGAACCAGCACTGGAAAGACATAGCCACAGGAGGTGGGGGGTGAGGGCGGGCAGGTTTGGGAGTAGACTCCTCTCAAGGCAATACAGGTTGTGAACAGGGACCAGCATCCAGCAGAGGCCACAGCAGTGACACTCCTCACAGCGGCCTGGGTTGGCATAGCATTAAGCCAGAGTCCACAAGTTCTGTGTGGCCTCACACATGGTGTCACCTCCTGTGAGCAGAGTGTGAGACCCTTCACCCTGAAATGGAGCTTCCACAGATCAGGATGCCGATGCTGGGGCCCTTGGCTGGACACAGAGCAGGAGGCGCATCCTGACAGGTGCCATCCACACTGGCTGCACACGACACAGGAGAGTGTAGAGTTGCAGATTTGGGGTAAGGAGAGAAAGAAAACAAGCGTGGGTGCAAATCATCTCCCACCCTGAGTCACAAGACTCAGGAGCCCTCGGGAAGCTACAGCTGCAAGCTGCTGGACCAGACTGCCAGTTTTGACTGCTGCCTCCAGAAGCCTCCAGGGAGCCTGGTGGTGACTTCATTAGCATCTAGCTCTTTGCTCCAGAGCGAGTCCACTGTGCAAGGTCCAAGTTGAAGCTAGCCAAGGACATCTACAAAGAGAGCTGGGGAGGAATTGAAAAGCAAATGGAGCCAACAATTCATCTAAGCAGGTGATGTGACAAGGTCAAAGGATACCACCTGGGAGCCCTCCTCCAGTCAGGTACTTCTCTGTCCCCTTCATTGGCTGATCAGATGAGAAGGTTCCCAAAAAGGACGTGGTTGACCCATGGTCTGTGGTCCTCAGGACTAAGGTCTCATTAGCTGGCCCCCAAACATGGCTTAGAAGCCGAGGGCACAGGACAGAAACATAAGTTCAGGGAGCTGATGCAAACTCTTCCAGCAATGACCAGGGCACCCCACTCACAGACCCCTCTCCTTTTACCAGGCCCTGAGACCCAAGACACCTCAGCTGCCAAAGCCAAGTCTGTCTCTTGCCACCAGCAGCTGAGTACATGGCTTGCTTGGTGGGGACCTAAGCAATCCTTCCCAACTGGAAAGAACATCCCAATTCTCTTAGTGAGACCTCTGAGCCAGGGTCTGGCTCTTCCTGCTTCCCTGGCAGTATAGCTGCTACAAGCACAATACTGTGGCCAGTAAGTGCCCCAATACCACTCCACTCTGGGGGGGTGGGGGGGAATGTGGTCCCAACACAAAATCCTGTTCCCAGGTAAATTTTGCCAGAGGTGCGCCTACCTGTGCGTGTGTGTGCATGTCTCCCTAGAAAGTGGATAAACATTGAAGCTCTGGAGACAGGCTTAGATTCAGGTCTCAGTGCCCCTCCTTTCTTGCTACAGACTCTTACTTAGCCTCTCTGAGCCTCAGTTGCCTGGTAGGTGAAATGAAAGTAATGAAACCCTGACCTCAGATGTCCTTCCAGGGACTCACTGATGAGCTGAGGCTAGTAAAGCTGACATGGGGCAGGTGTCCTGACCACAGTTTGGGAGCAGCCACCATGCTACAGAGGATCTGTGTCCTAGCAGCTCCCTGCTGGTATCTGTCAACACCCACAGGCGCAGTGGGGAGAGAGTGGTAGGCATGCCCAAGGCCCCAGGTTCAAGCCTCAGCAAAGCAAATGTTAGAATAAAATGTGCGCTCCTGTTTTTATGAGCTGAGGCTCAGGGAGCCCAGGGAGCCTGTGCTGGCAGAGTCACAGATGCTTCTAAAAGGCAATTTCTAACTTTCTACCTTTTTTACCTGATCACTTAAGAAATCACCCCTGTGGCTAGAGAAATGGCACGTAGAGAGGAGCCTTCCCAACATGTTCCTCTATGCCGTCTAGGCTGTTCCTCACACTTTGTCTTGCTGAAGACTTGTACAACTAATTTGACAACTTCCATTTGAAATGCAACCTCCACTTGCCTCAGTAACACACACCTCTAATGCCATGACTTGGGAGGCTGACAAATGGTTGTCAGTTTGAGCCAGCCTGGGCTACAAAGCAAGGTTCATATTAGCCTGAAAACAAAACCAAGCCCACAATAATGCAAAATCCCAAACCATTTACTGTTATGTAATCAGATTCCAGGTACCTTGTGAATGGTCTGAAACTGGTAGTGGTGGCTGGTGTGCCAGGGGGTGGCCTTTCTCCACCTCTCCTGGCCTCCTTGCAGGCCTTCCTGACACTCTGCACGGCTCTCTGTGACATTCTGGTCAGTGTTTTCTTAGACGTCTCATTAGACCACACTGGAGGGGACCTACCTTGGAGGCCCAGTGACCCGACAGTCTACTTCCAGGAAAGGGAAGGAACGTCAACCATGTGGGTCATGGTGGAAAGCCCCATGTGAGTGCCATACAGCAGACTCAGAGCATCAGGAGCTGCAGGTCTGAGAGGAAGGAAAACCAGGGGAGGCAGAAGAACAAAGAGGGCCTTGCCCGGGAGGTTGCCCCCAAGAATGAGCAACCTGGGTCAAGCCAGGACCAGGGCAGGGCAGTCCAGGAGAGGGTTAAATGGACCAGATGTGGATTCTGTTCGCATCTTTTCTAGGTCCACTCCCGTGAATTTGATTATAAAAATCTGTTGTTTTTTTTGTTTTGTTTTTTGGTCAAAAGTGACCTTCAGCTGCCTTCATGATCCTGAATTTTATGAACTGGACAGTCAGTTTAGGTCCTTGGTTTCAGAGATTTAGAATGAGTCCCCCCCAAAGTACGCCCGTGAGAGTTAGTGTTATTGTGGGGTGCTCACCAGAAAAGACTGCTGACATGGGTTTAAGCTATGTTTGTTTATCCAATAGAAAGTCTTTATTAGCCAGCCAGCAAGTACCCTGGGTGATCAGGATCCTATGTTGCCTCAGCTTTTCTCAGGGTGAGCTTTTAAGAAAAAAAAAAAATCAAAAAACAAAAACATGTTCTGGCTTGATATACTTCAGTTAACAAGAACAGTTAGCCAGAAACAGAACTACAGAAGTAAAAAAGCAAGGTTAGTACATTCAGGGGCTTTCCCAGAACTTAGACTTTGATGGATTGGGCCTTTGTTTTAGTTTTGACAGGTGGTAATGTCTACATGCTGGGTTTTACAACCTGAATGGTACTTCCACCGTGGAGTTGAAGGACTCCTGGAGGCTCAGGCCCCCAGGATTTCCACCCTTTCATCCATCCACCAAGGCAGATGGCTGGGAAAAGACCTCAAGCAACCACGGGACATATATCTTATAGGGCAGCGTAGAGGGAGTGTCTAGGGGTACGCAAAGTCTCAGGATTGGTGTGCCTCAAGGCTTGGAGGACTTGCCCTGTGTTGATTGGTCAACTGGTTGTTATGGCCCATAGGCCCTCCCAGGGCGATTGCTCTTGTCTGTAAAGCACATCCAGAGCCATAAAGCATAGCCCTGCTAGCTAACTTCTGATTGGTTCCTTGCCTGGAGGCAGGCATCTGACCTCCAAGTGATCAAGGCAAGTTCCGACAAGCACGTGTTGGGCTGTTATGGCTGCCAAAACGGGGAGCTGGCCCCTTTAGAGTCAGCTGTGCGACATCTCAGGGTCTACTAAGTTCTGGGGACTTGTTACAGTGTCAGCTTGACAGGATCTAGGATCATCTGGGAGACACATCTCTGGCCATGCCTATTCGGAATTATACTTCTATGGGGGATTATCTTTTAAAAATATTTATTCATCTATTTATTATTTATTTCATGTGCATATCTGTGCAGCACTTGGGTGCCTGGTGCCTACAGGGGCCAGAAGAGGACACTGGATCTCCCAGAACTGGAATTAACAGACAGTTGTGAGCTGCCACGGGGTGCTGGGAATCAAACACAGTCCTCTGGAAGAGCAGCCAGTGCTCTTAACTGCTGAGCCATGCCTGCAGTTCCAGTGGGCAATTGTTTTAATTGATGCGGAAAGATCCTTTTTAATTGGGGAGGGCCATTCTCTAATCCTGGATTGTACAAAGAGGGTTAACCAAGGCGCACACACATTCGTCCCTGATTCCTGATTGCCGGTGTCACGTGACCAGCTTCTTCATGCTCCAGCTGTCTAGAGTTTCTGTGACTGACTGGAACTACAGGATGAAATAAGCCCTTTCTCCCTTAAGTTGTCTCTGCGGGGGTGTTTTATTGTAGCAACCGAAAAAGAAACTAAGACCCCTTCCTAACGGAGTCTGGGGAATGCTCAGGGGGCCACAGGATGGAAAGGACTCGGCCCAGGAAAAGCTGCGGCTAGCCTTTGCCAGCCACGCCGGCCGGCCGCAGCTTGCTTGGAGCAGAATGTGTTTTTCTGGTTCTGTCTCCCGGCATGGGGCCGGGAAGCCGCCTTTGATGTGCAGGTGTTGTAAGCAGCTGCGGCAGGCACACAAGCTCTTGGCTACTCTCCCCAGAGCGAGGCAGGATGCCTGCAGGGCAGAGGCAGACGCAGCTGTGGGCAGAACACTCCTCCCTCCCCTCACCTTTGTGTGTCTAGGTGGGAAGCCCTGCCGGGCATCCTGAACCTTGAGCCTCTCTCCTAGGAAGTGCAGGTTCAGATGGCTTTGTTCTTTGCTGGCTGTCATCTCCTCCCTAGACCTCCACCACCTCAGGACCTTTCTCTACTCGCCCCAGGGAGAGAGGCTGCTGCTTCTGCGTGTGTGTGTGTGTGTGTGGGGGGGGTGTCTCTGTGTGTGTGTGTCTGCCTGTGGGTGTTTGTGTGTCTGTGTGTGCGTGTGTCTGCGTGTGTCTGTGTGTCTGTTTCTGTGTGTGTGTGTATGCGTGTGTGTGTGTGTGTGTCTGTGTGTGTGTATGTGTGTCTGTGTGTGTGTCTGTGTGTGGGGGGGTGTCTGTGTGTGTGTATGTGTGTCTGTGTGTGTGTGTCTGTGTGTCTGCGTGTGTGTGGGGTGTGTCTGTGTGCGTGTGTCTGTGTGTGTGTGTGTGCGTGTGGGGGGTGTCTGTGTGTGTGTGTCTGTCTGTGTTTGTGGGTGTCTGTGTGTGGGTGTCTGTGTGTCTGTGTGTGTCTGCGTGTGTGTGGGGGGTGTCTGTGTGCGTGTGTGTATGTGCGTGCGTGCGTGTTTGTGTGTGTGTGTGTCTGCAACCGACCAGGTGACGCATGTTTATCTCCAATGGACCACCGGGAGCAGGAGTCAGTGTAGCCCAGGAGAGACCAGCCTCCCTCCTTCCAGGCTTCCATCTATCAGTCCTCTCTGGGTGATAGATGGAAGCTTGCCCGGGGGCTCTCATCTGGAAGGAAAACTAAAACAAAAAACCACCACCGAGTCCTAAGGGCTAATTCGACCCGGAAGAATCCTACTTATAAAATGCTGATCCACTCTGAGCCAGACCCCTGTAGGCTCAGGGGATTTGATACGAACCTGACATCAAGATCGCCCTCTTGGTTTGAAACTCCACCTACTGGTTGCTCAACCTTGCACATAGGCTTCAGCTTCTGTGAGCCTGAAAACGAGGATGGGTTTTCCTTCTAGGATTTTGACGCATTTTAAGTGTACCTTTCTCTTTCTCCTGGTCAATTTAACCGAAGGCTCACCTGCTTACACTCGGTCCCTGCCTCTCCTTGGACTGTGAGCTCCCTGAGGACCGAGGGCTAGCATCCCCATTCCTCAGGAAGCTGCACTGCTTAGCCCAAGGGAGGCCACAGGAAGCAAGCACTGTGATAACTAGGACAAAAGACCCTTAACACAAGGCTTGTGCTCAGAGACACATGCGGTTGTTTCTGCTCAGAAACTAGTTTGAATCTAAAAAAAAAAACTAGGCTGTGGGGTCTGTAGTCAGACGGCTCTGGGGTAGACCCCAGCATCCCATCATGCACCTGGTGTCAAACCACCAATTATCCCACTCTCCCCTCTCTGGTCCTGAGAGTCGAGGGTCTTTCACAGGGCGTCGGAAATCTGCCTTCTAGAAGGCTCAGAGAGACCAGAGCAAGAAATGACTAACCCAGTCTGCAAAGAGAGCAAGCCATAATCACTCTCCAAATCCTTAGGAAGGAAAAAAAGTATTGAAAGGTTCAGGCATTATGCTGGCCTGCCCCTGTTACCTGGTGGAATCCACTCAGGCAATACCCTGGTCAGCCCAAGGTTCCATGGGAAAGAAGTCTGCACGCAGGTGCAGAGGACCCCTTTAAAAGATAGGCCCCT